ATTGTTTCACTACTTTCACTATGCTAAAAACTTCTTTCAACATCATGTTATATATTTCACCTCCTTTTAAATAAATCGATCATATTTGTATATTAATTCTGTTTTATTTCTTTCCCAAGACTATTACAATATGTCATTATCATGAAACTATGTTCCAGGTTTGAAGTACTGCTAGAAAATATTCAATATGCACACAGAAGTGGATATGTGGCAATTATTTTAATTTTAACATTAGAACATGCCCTCTTAGTAGAAAGAAGAATAGTCAGTAGCCAGGGAGAATTAGATTCTGTCATTTGAGGTGACCCTGTGGCACCAGCATAAGCCTCAAAAACATCATAAGAGAGCCCTGAAGTAGCATGGCAGTATTCGGTTGTGAACTGCTTATCCAGATAGTCCTGAAGATTTATGAGAACATTGATTAGTGTATTATTTCTGTTTCTGCTAGAGAAGGATTGAGGCTCTGAGGAGACAAGTTGCAGACTATGTAAAATAAAAATGTATTTTATAATCATTTTATATATGTTATTAAACACACACACTCTATATATATGTATGTATATTTCAAAACAAGCATTTGTCAAAACAAAAATAAACCCTTTATTCTTAAATTTCTTTCTTTTAAGCATTGAAAATTAGAAAACATACAATATTTGAAATCACCATAGGATTTTTCATATTCATCTGCCTCCCTAAAATTACAATGTTCATTTTCCATCTGAAAATTACATGGAAATGCATAATGGTGAGTTATTATGACCTAGGAATCTAAGAGTAGGACTTAAAATTAGCAAAAGATGCTACAAGGGTAAGAGAAAAATGATTCTGAGAGAACAGTAGGATTTTCAAAAGTAGGCACCCACAGAAAATGAGGAGGCCCAAGCAACAATCAAGTTAGAGAAGATTCACAGTTGCAAATGTGAGAAGAGCAGGCCCGGATCCCAGCACTTCTCTTTGTTCCATAGGCAGCTGTTTCTGATCAGGAGAGGAAGAAAATGAAGCGCAAAGGAGACCGGTACTCGATGCAGACCTCTCTTATCGTAGCGGCGCTGAAGCGCTTGCTGCCCATTGGGCTGAACATCTGTGCCCCTGGGGACCAGGAGCTCATTGCTC